TCTTATCCGACACGAATCTAATGATTATCATGCTTGCACTAGTAATATGTAGCTATATAGTTTCTTTCTATAGTTTACTTATAATGTAGGTGGATACGCTATCAGGCAAGTAGAAGAATTCAAGTACTTGGGCGTAACGATTACATCGAAGCTTACCTGGACAGCACATATTGATGATATATGTTCTGCTGCCAGGAGAAAATTATGCTTTCTAAAATATAAATTGGGTCGTTCTTCTAGTTCACTAAAACTTAGAGCCTATAAAGTCATAGTTCGTCCTTCTCTTGAATATGCCAGCATTGTGTGGGACCCCCACACAGCTGGTAATATACAGAAAATAGAAAAAATACAACGATTAGCTGCTCGATTTATATACAACCGGTATAGATGTCGCGATTCGCCGTCAGCCCTGTTGCAGGATGCGAACCTCCAACTTTTGGCCGATCGAAGGAAAACTGCACGGCTTAACTTTTTCCGCCCTTTTATACTTTTCCAGATCAGGATTGCACGCACCAGATTACATAACACAGGACACAACCAGGTCTTACATAACACAGGAAACAACCACGAGCGCACCATGAGCGTGGCATGTAGTCATTACTTACATGACATGTATGTCATGATTTCCACGTTCGGGTATGTCACTTACGTTCTCCATGCAATCATGTCATAGCATACCAGTATTGCAATACGTCATATAAATGAAACCACCGCAAGAGCAGCAAGACCATAAAGTGTAAATCATGGCATTCACGATTTACACGTCATGACTTTCGTGTTATCACTAATCTATTATGCTCGTCATACAGTCATGTTATGGCATACCGATTTTGGTATTGATACCATTACCGAAACGGCTTGAAGAGCTTATAGTTGTAGGCGGCTATATAGATAGATAGACAGACAGATATGCTAAAAGTCTCCAAAATTCGCCAAGAAATGCTTCACATTAAAAAAAAAGTAGTGAGGCTGAATGTCTCCTGGGGCATCACCATGTGCGTAAACCCTGCACGCATGCACGTTGAAAACGAAAAGGGAAGACACGGATGCGGCGGAAAACTATTTGGTAAAGCTTCCTTCATATGGACCACTGCGCCACATATGTGACGGTAACAAAAACAATAGCATTGCCAAAGTAGAAGTAGTTTTAATTCTTTTTTTTTTTTGGTTTGGGTGAAGAGAGAGGGTGGGCACATCTGCGCATGCGCCAGTGGCGGCGGGAAGGGTGGCTCGTGGGGCGCAGGTTCACCTGCCAAAAATTACAAAAATCCGTGCCAATTTTTAGTTTATTTCGAGCGAAAATTCGTTATATCAAGGCTTTCTGCTGTAGTTTTTTTTCGTTACTAGAGGTTGCAAGTACATGAACTTCTACGGAGTGACGGCGGGGATTATAAAAAAAAATTGCCCGCAGCTTCCCTCGGGGGAACACTGAGGAGGATGCGGACCATATAATTGGTTAACGGGGTGTTAAAGTGCGACTTACTTGGGTCGATGGCTAAATTGGTTAACGTGGTTGTAGGAGGGGGTGTTAAATGAGTGAACACGTACACACGTATGCGAAAGGGCGGCGCTGGTCGAAGGGACGTCGATCATTGTGTTTGTGGATTCGTTGGAATTCATTTCACCGCGACCTTGGACGTCGACGCGCCGTACAAACCAACCGACGAGCGGCAACTGAGCGAGCGAGCGCCGACCTTGAGTATATATACAGCTCGACGGCGCATGCACTGTCAGCTGTTGAATGTTCTCGAAGCGCGACGCCACATGCGCGTCCACTGGAGAATCAGGAGAATTGTAGATGTCGAACGCGGTGTGTAGAGGAGGAAGGGTGCACAGATGGTGGAGGAGTGAAGCGCGCGCGGTGTGTAGAGGAGGAAGGGATGCACAGATGGTGGAAGAGTGGGTGACGGCGCATGCGCGCGCGTCAGCTGTCGAATGTTCGAGAAGCGGTGCGGACGGCGCGGACGGCGCACTACAAGGCGCGAGTATAAGATGCTCCGCATCTAAAAAAACTTCATTATATCTAGGGATTTATAGTATGAACGTTCGTTACAAGCAGTTACCTATATTTACCAAGTGCATATCACGAACAGCCAAGCATTTTCACATTTTGTGCTGGGTCTGAAGAGTTCATATTTACGCCAGTTATTGCGATAGCAATCATATGGACACTCTTGGCTGAATTTTGCTGTTAGTGTCGGGGTCGACGTGGGCGTTGCCATCGATGTCGTGCCCCATCTATGTATACGCATCGATATATATGAAGACGCAAGAAAGAAAATATACAGAAAAAACACTTCGGCGTGCGGATTCAAACGTGCAATCTCTGTGTCGTGAAAGCGAGGCATTAACCACTGAGCTACCCGGAGCACACCATTCACCGTTCAAACGGCACCTACTTATATCGACCACTTACCACTGCTCACGAGTATCTCGGAGTTGGGGGGGGGGGTGATTGTGTTTTCAGCATTACATGCAAGATGGCGCAAAGAACGCGCGTTGCCACATCGCGTGGCGGCGCCAGGTCTAATCTCCTTCGCGTACTTTGCCGTGCGAGAAAAGGGTGCAAAAGGAAGCGACGCTTCCTCGCGTGACCTTATCTCGCGGCGGCGAGGAGGGGAAGGTGGTATGCCTTTGCTGGCCTCGGGCTTTACCTGGAACAATTCTGCTGTAGTTACCGGGTGCAAAAAGGTCACTGCCATCATAGCAATCTCCGTTCGTGAACAGCGCGCGCTTTTCAGACGCAGAAAAGTAACAAATCAGACGCCTATTCGCATGCATCCGTACCCTGAGTGACCTTTGAATTCGTTGCTCTCGCCTTCATTGCTTCGCCTTTCCGGCAAAGGTGGTACTTTTTTATTACTCTCGATAATATTGCTCAATCAAAGATTGTTTGAATGTGCTGAAATTGCTGAATGGTCATCAAAGCACTGCATTTTTTTTAAGTGTCACCATATTCACATGAAGGGACATATTAGTTAGCTCTATGCCTCACTGATATAACTACAAACCTGTATATACTGCTCAGTCAGTATTCACATACGAGTGCACTATATAGGAAGGCCATATAACCTAGATAATCATCTCTAATTGTGAATACACAGGCACTTTTTGGAGGGACTTAAAAAACAGGAAGGGTATTAGCACCTATCAGTCAAGTGAGTGGTTGCATAAAATTTCACACAAAGAAACAAAGTTTCTCAGAGCAGTAGTAGTATACGAATCATCATCATCATCATCAGCCTGACTACGTCTACTGCAGGACAAAGGCCTCTCCTATGTTCCGCCAGTTAACCCGGTCATGTGCTTGCTGCAGCCAATTTATACCCGCAAACTTCTTAATCTCATCTGCCCACCTAACCTTCTATCTCCCCCTAACCCGCTTGCCTTCTCTGGGAATCCAGTTAGTTACCCTTAATGAGCAGTGGTTATCTTGTCTACGTGCTACATGTCCAGCCCATATCCATTTCCTGCTCGTGATTTCAATTATGATGTCCTTAACCTCCGTTTGCTCCCTAATCCACTCTGCTCTCTTCTTGTCTTTTAAGGAAATTTGGGATAGCCAAAAAGTATATATATGCACTAAGGGACTAAGAAGGCAAAATAAATACCAATATGGACAGGATAGATAAAATAGCAGAGGAGTTTTACAGAGATCTGTACAGTAGCTGGGACAACCACGACCTTAGTACTATAATAACTAGCAGTAACCCAGATAACGCCCCACTAGTAATGATAGAAGAAGTCAGAAAAGCTTTGGAGAGCATGCAAAGAGGCAAAGCTACTGGTGAGGATCAGGTAATATCAGAATTGCTGGAAGATGGAGGAGAGATTGTGTTAGAAAAAGAAGCCAGCCTGTTTAAGAGGTGTCTCTTGACGGGAAGAGTACCAGAGTCTTGGAAGAATGCTAACATCATCCTAATACATAAGAAAGGAGATGACAAGGACTTGAAGAATTACAGGCTGACATGCTTTCTCTCCATAGTATACAAACTATCACATTGACAATATCAATCAGGTTATAGAGAAATGCTCAGAATATAAACAACCACTATACATAGCCTTCATAGATTACGAGAAATCGTTTGATTCAGTAGAAATATCAGCTGTCATGCAGCCCATCAGGGCGCCGGTGAAGTATATATAAACATCCTGGATGAAATCTACAGGGTATCAACTACTAATATATTGCTTCATAAATAAAGCAACAGAATACTAATCAAAAAGGGTGTGAAAGCAAGGGGACATAATCTCCCCGATGCTGTTTACCGCGTGCTTACAGGATGTTTTCAGAAGCCTAGAATGGAAACAGTTAGGGATAAGAGTTAATGGAGTGTACCGTAGTGACTTGCGCTTCGCCGATGACATTGCACTGCTCAGTAACTCAGGGGACGAATTGCAACTCGTGATTATTAAGTTAGACAAGGAGAGCAGAAAAGTAGGTCTTCAAATAATCTGAAGAAAACGAAAGCAATGTACGACAACCTCGGAAGAGAGCAGCACGTCGAGATAGGTAATAGCGCGCTTTAAGTTGTAAAAGACTATGTCTACTTAGGGCAGGTAATAACCGTGGAGCCGTATCTTGATATTGAAGTAACTAGAAGAATAAGAATGGGGTGGAGCACATTTGGCAAGTACTCTCAAATTAAGACAAGTAGATTGCCACTATCCCTCAAGAGGAAGGTATGTAACAGTTGTATCTTAATTGCCGGTACTTAGCTACCGGGCAGAAAAATAGAGACTTACATAGAGAGTTCAGCCTAAATTGAAGACGACGCAGCGAGCAATAGAAAGTCTACGAATAGATTTATACAAACAACTGATTGCACAGAGAATATAAACATAACAACTAGCGTACACTGATTTGACCACTAAGAGACATATAAGAAAAATTTTAACTAGCTGTAGTGAGTAAAAAAGGTTACAACACTGGAAAAATCATACACCGTGAAGAGTTGAAGTGTACTTTTCAATTATTATTATTATTATAGGTACTGACAAATTAGTAGTTTTGACTTGATGCGTAATGTTTGAATCTTCTCATTTGTTGAAATTACGGGTTGGTTGCTTCAGATGACCTCACTATTATTGCAAGCCGGCGAAGAGGTCTTTATTTGATTCGAATAGTATTGTGGGAGGTCTGCCTATTATTTGCATATGATTATTCTACCAGTGCAACCGGGCAGAAAAGCATGTACGAAGTCCTTTAGCGCATACTTCTTGAATTCGGCGTAGCACATTGAATCATAGATAGTGTTATAAGACCCTCTCATGCGCAACTCATAGTTCCCACCTGAAACAAAAATAAACTGACTTAATTTGCAATGTTACCTGCTTAACGTGCGTCACACGCAATACTGTCACGGGGTCGTGACGTGGTCAAAGACAGGAAACTTCGTGTTGGGATTTAACTGTTTATTTGGGCGAACCTGTGCCCGGTAAAGGGAAAGTCTAATTACAGCAGCAGTCTTTCACAGATAGCAGTCTCGGACTGATAGCGGCGAACGCAGCGTCGGCCTTCGATCAACAACTGACAAGCGGCGAAGCGCGTCGGCATTTATACTCTTGCCATCAAATGTTCTAGCGTTATCGCTGGCGGTGGCGTAGGTTCCAGAACAATCTGTACCAATCGCACAGTGGGCGTGATCTTATCAAAATGATCTACTACAGTCCGGAACCTTCTCGAACTGCAGGCGCGGAAACTGCAGGCGCGGTTTGCGCTGAGAATCGTGTGGTGTTTTGGGACGATAACGAAAACTTGGGAAATGGAATGTGGCATTGCCCCTCTCTGAAAAAAGGCATCGTCCCGATGCTTTAACTAAAAATGAAGGTACAATAATAATGAAAGAAAGTACAATGAATAAATTACGATGAAACAATGATACAAAAAAAACACTGTTTCGGTTTGTTAACGCGCATGAAACGGCTTGAGGCGCGCGACATGCACGACTTCAGGTCGCGATCGGCGTCGTTGAGAGTTCGTGATGCCGTCGGGGACAACCTCGTAATCAAGTGGGCCGAGCCGTCAAACCACCCTGTACGGTCCGAAGTAGCGTCGCAGAAGCTTTTCACTTAGTCCACGTCGGCGTATCGGCGTCCACACCCAAACACGTTTACCGGGCTGGTATTCCAGGAAGCGTCGTCGAAGGTTGTAACGGTGGCTGTCTGTCGTCTGTTGGTTCTTGATACGGAGACGCGCAAGTTGTCGGGCTTCTTCGGCACGTTGAAGGTACTCGCTCACATCGAGGCTTTCTTCGTCGGTGACGTTGGGTAACATGGCATCGAGCGTCGTTGCCGGGCTCCTTCTGTAGACCAATTTGTATGGAGATATCTGCGTCGTCTCCTGCACCGCCGTGTTGTATGCGAAGGCCACATACGGAAGAATGGCGTCCCACGTCTTGTGTTCGACATCGACGTACATTGACAGCATGTCGGCGATCGTCTTGTTAAGCCGCTCGGTGAGGCCGTTGGTCTGTGGGTGGTACGCTGTCGTCCGGCGGTGGTTTGTTTGGCTGTATGCCAAGATCGCTTGAGTTAAGTCGGCACTGAATGCCGTTCCTCTGTCGGTGATAAGGCCCTCCGGGGTGCCGGGACGTAGGATGATATTTTCGACGAAGAACTTAGCTACCTCGGATGCACTGCCTTTTGGCAGGGCTTTTGTCTCGGCGTAGCGGGTGAGGTAGTCGGTAGCTACCACGATCCGCTTGTTTCCGAAAGCCGACGTCGGGAACGGCCCTAGTAGGTCCATACCAATCTGCTGGAAAGGTCGGCAAGGTGGATCAATTGGCTGCAGAAGTCCCGCTGGCCTTGTCGGCGGTGTCTTGCGTCGCTGACAGTCCCAGCATGTCCTCACATTCACGGGAATTCGAAGCGATTGCCGGACTTCTTCTCGCACAATGTCGGCGATCGAATCCACTTGAGGCTGCGCCGAAGGCAACAGTTTGCGCAGCTCTTCCCGCACGATCGCTCGGATCGTTTCACGCAGGTCGTCGGAGTCACTGGCTTGAGCAGCAGCGCATTCTGGAGTCAGGCGACGATTATACTGTCTGGTGCGCATGTCCAGCGTTTTTTCGATGGTGGTCGCCTCGGATACAAATTCTTGGACGGTGTTCGGTGGATTCCTCATTAGTCCCGCGAAGAGCTCCTGTTTGACCCCTCGCATGAGGAAACGAACTTTCTTTTCCTCAGGCATGTCTGGGTCAGCGTGACGGAATAGGCGGTCATCTCCTCTGTGAAAATTCCAACCTTTTCATTTGGTAGCTGAACCCGGGTCTCGAGTAGAGCAGCGGCCCTCTCTTTGCGAGCGATGCTTGCGAACGTTTGCAGAAACGCGCCGCAAAAGACATCCCACGTTCGGAGCGTAGACTCCCGATTCTCTAGCCAGGTCCTTGCGGTGTCTTCCAGGTAAAAGTACACACGACGGAGCTTTTCTTCGTTGTCCTAGTGGTTGAGGGCGGCCACACGGTCGTATGTTTCTAGACAGGTTTTCGGGTCTTCAAACGATGAGCCATGGAACGTTGGTGGTTCCCTGGGTTGATGAATGACGATCGCGGGCTGGGACGCTCCGGTTGTCATTGTCGCTGCAGTCGAGGTCATGGTCTTGGTCTTCCACGCCTTGTCTTGTAAAAGGCCGTACTCCGGTGGGAGACCTTGCTGTCGGCGGCTCGTTCGCTGCTCTTGGTTGGCGTCGGTGTCTTCTCCGCGACGGGGGCTGGGTTCACGGCTTGACGGGGCGTCTGGTACATGAACGAAGCAGCACCTCCACCAGATGTCACGGGGGTCGTGACGTGGTCAAAGACAGGAAACTTCGTGTTGGGATTTAACTGTTTATTTGGGCGAACCTGTGCCCGGTAAAGGGAAAGTCTAATTACAGCAGCAGTCTTGCACAGATAGCAGTTTCGGACTGATAGCGGCGAACGCAGCGTCGGCCTTCGATCAACAACTGACAAGCGGCGAAGCGCGTCGGCATTTATACTCTTGCAATCAAATGTTCTAGCGTTATCGCTGGCGGTGGCGTAGGTTCCAGAACAATCTGTACCAATCGCACAGTGGGCGTGATCTTATCAAAATGATCTACTACAGTCCGGAACCTTCTCGAACTGCAGGCGCGGAAACTGCAGGCGCGGTTTGCGCTGAGAATCGTGTGGTGTTTTGGGACGATAACGAAAACTTTGGAAATGGAATGTGGCAATACTTTTCTAGAATTCTGTACTACATTGTAACAGTAAAAGGCATTGCGTATGCAAATAACAGTTGGCAAACTTCAATGAAGCTTGGCATGTTTAGCAATCGAATAAAATTCTAAAATAATGCAAGCTTCCATCGAGACCGAATGTCATCAAAATGGCCAATAATTCAATAATTGCCTTTACACTTATTTAAAAACTTTCTATCGACATGCTGCATTTAGTTGAAATTTATCTATAAATAAAAACATGGTAAAAGGCGGAGTAATGAATTCTTACCAACGCAAGCTTCTCTTGGTATACCCTGGTAGCAGCCATTCAAGATAATTATGACGAGAAACAATACGACAATCACATATCAACATCTTCGTAACCTATGCACTTCATTATACATCCTGTTAGCCAGAATCGCAACCACTCGCTTACACATGCCCTTCTATTGCCAGTAGCATGGTGGCAATATAAGTCGATGTGCTTGAACTATTTGCCCCTAAGACAACGTAATATTGTCAGTTCATCAGCAATCAAGATAGACGTAAGGATGCAATTATAATTATTACCAGTATATTTCCGCATAGATTTAAAGAACATTTGCGCACAATATTATTCACCTATTGCACTTAAAAATTTATTCAAGAGCATAAAAGGAGCACATTTTAAGCTCACTCGTAATTCGCAGATTCTTCTACACAAGAGTGAATTTTCGCACATGTCATGACATTTGAAAATAATATAGCAGAAAGCATGGAACTTCAAAATAAAGCAAGTCACTGAATTCATACAAGGTCCTTAATCCTCTCGCTACTGTGAAATCAAGAAAGTGCACCAAATACCTTAGAAACCTTCCTTCGCTCAACTTGGGGAGCGTGTTTCTCTGATCAAAATGACGGCATACTTTAAATCTATTTCCGAATTTGTCTAATCGTGCGATATGTTGCTCTGAAATGGTTTAAATGCATTACAATACAATTAAACATGGCTGTACAATACAAGCCGAGATAAGTATGGCAAGACAATATGAACTCACACCATCTGACGTGAAGAAACACCACTATGACATTTGTAGCCGTCACTGGCTCGATGCTAATTCATTGATGGAGGTCGTTGTCGTCACCGGTCATTTCGGTACACAACCTCCAGACTACTATACTAATATTCGGGGCTTAACGTCCCGAAAGCATCATCTGAATATGAGAGACGCCATAGTGGAGGGCTTCGGAAATTTTGACTGCATAGGGTTCTTTATCTTGCACCCGTATCTGAGCACACGAGGTCTACAGCATTTTCCTCTCGAAATGCAGCCACTGCAGCCGGGATTCGATCCCGTGACCTGCCGGTCAGCAGTCGAATACTTTAGGCAACAGACCACTGCGGCAGGGCCATGACTACTATACTCGCCAACAGAAGAAGCAAAGTTAAATTTTGCATTACTACCCAACACAGCGAAATAAATCGCCACAATTGCATAGTAGAATTACAGTTTCTTATTTGAAAATGTCAATACTTTATAAACTGTTAAATTCAATCATGCCCTTGACAATAACGTAGTAACCATTTTCGATTGTTAATGTTGGTTGCAATAAATGCCAACGTCATAGAGGTTTGATATTTTGGAAACTGACAGTAAAAGCAGTGGGAATTGTAGATCATAAAAGGCGCTGCAGACCTTAGAGCCAAACACATGCATTGCCGAGCTCATGGTCCTATTGAAATGGCGTAGGAACTATCCTAAAACTCCTGCATGAACAGCCAAAGCACTAGTGCCCGTTCGACCACTAAGAAGTATAGTTACACGAGCTAAATTATGTTATTGCATAAAATATTGACATAATGCACGAGAATTCAGAAGACATCAAAATGAGGATTGGGGAAAGCGAAGCTTCGTGCATATGTGACAGTCCTACAACTAATATTCAGCGTTTGCTATTGTGAGCCGATGTGAAATGTGCGAAGAGAATGACAGCTAAGCGCCTGTTCTCCTCGCCTATTGCCGTGTTTGCACTTCTTACCAGGAATTATCCAAAACGAATACTTCATGCGTTTCAGCCCATCTTTCAAGAGATGACACCACAGCCGCAATCTTTGTGGCAGTTTTGCACTGCCATCGATGCCTCTAACAGACATTTGCACAATTAGGAAAAATAAAGAGCATTTCCACAGGTGTGAAATATGAATAAACAGAGAAGCTGCGAAGCTAGCCCTGCCACTCGAAAAAGTGCATATTCAATTTTTTCTTCGTCTGTCCTCACTTTTTCACTATTTCCTACTCTGTTTTCTTTATCTCTATATTGCCATATCTTGTCCTGCCTTGATATATAGAATCTTCTGCCTTACACTCACCTTCTCATAAATGTTTTCACGCTATACTATACGTGTAGCTTATTTTTGTCCCACGTAACTTCCCTCGTTCCAACCTTAACAGCAATTCTCGTCCCCCGTTTATCCTTTTGAACCCTCTGTTTAGTCAAGATATAAACAAATATGTCATGCCTAACACTTTGCTGCAGTATACTGTGCATTGGTATGCTATTTTAAGAGCTGTTTGACCCATCCACAGTTATGTTGTATGCACATTTTTATAGAACGCCTGTTACAAGCTTAAACAACCCTTCTTATAAACATGCGCGATGGTATAGAATTATAAACAAGTACATCTGCGTGACAGTCTCGTATTCTCGCAAATAACTATGCCAATCCTTAGAACTTCTTCGTAAAGAGAGCCTATAGCGACATCATGCTAGACAAGAAGTCTCGTGACCGAATATAATATAGAGTGGTAGACGTATAACCTGTAAAACAAAGTGTCTTAGAGAACAAACTGTTCAAGGAGAAGGATGTTTGAATACTACCACCATTACGAAGTCGCATAATTGTTATAGCAATGAGCTATAGAATAAATGAAGTGCACCCATAGCCATATCATAGCAAGCTTCGCGTGAACAACACTCATTGGCCTGAAGAAAAGCTTCTTTAAATTACCATACTCACGTTGTGCTCTTAAAATGCTTACAACATAATATTGTCATGAAGAATTTCAGAATTCCTGATGCGTTTATTTGTGCGACTCTATACTACATTATGCGACTCCAGTGTTATGAGATGCTATTATGCTTAAAATTATTATCTGTTCGTATACCACAAGACTCTTGTTGCGTTCGAGCGGCTAAATGAATTGGTTGTATGACATCAACACCTTTCTTGTACATACGAACTGCCTATGTATACGAAGTTTGTTGCGCATAAGTGAGATTATTCAATGAAGGCGTAATCTTTGTCTACTTAAGATTTTCAGGTTTCTGTATACTTACAACTGCTGGGGCTTCTCACTACTGCACCTCTATTCAATGCGACAATGAGCCAATCACCTGCGTCAGCGTGCTGTATCTAATAGCTTTTAAACCCTTACTTGCACTTTCCAAAGAAAAAAAAATCCAACAGACAAAACGCTTATATTCTGTGATCAGCTTCTTCATAAAGTAAGATTTCAACAGTTGATTGAGTGATGTTTTTTGTTTCATTCTCGATATCCAAGATATCGCTTTGTTATTACTCACATCGCATTTATCCATCTCTGGAGGGGAGTTCACGAAAAAATGTTTAAAATGCATTGGAATTAAGTATGTGCGAACCCGAAAGCTTGAGTTGGTCATGCATTGTGGCGTCTTGGAGTATTCAGGCTAGTCATTTGTATTGATGTCAATTAAATCTCGCTTACGAAATAGGATTGCACCTAACTTTCCTATAGAGGTACGTAAATTTCCTAAAAAAGAACTCAAGCTTGGATGTGTTCGTAAGTTTCCTGTATTACGAAGTGCACATAAGAGACCAGACGGGTATTACATTTCACAATTGCCTCTTAATCTTGCAGCCATACTTTCAAGACATTTTTTGCTCTAATACACATTTCACGTTCACCTTGTATAAATACCTATATATCATTCCTCTTTTCAGCGTTCCGAAAATGTTCAAAGGGCTTTGTGTGTGCTACGCTCTGTTCTTTTTTTTACATGGTCACTTTGAAAAATGTGAATTGTTAGATGTTAATGCTCTATTCTTACAGCCTCTCGCTGAGCTGCCTTTCGGTACGCTACAAAGTTAACAATATAATAATGCACGCGAAGGCAGCTTCGGGCTGTATTTCATAATATATTTGTTGCTGCAGGTGATATAAAATTTTCACGCCCAGTTTTCTTGCGTGCTATATGAAATTTTCTGTTAGCATTGCAGTTGAATGCTCTTTTTTTATACTAAAATTCTTAATGAGAACTATTTCATCAAGCGAAAAGTGCACAACCAACATGAAAATAACCTTCAAGAAAAATTAAAAACACTGAAAGATTGAGCAAAAGAGTTATAAAGGGCTTAGCGCAAGGATACTACTTTAAATGATGTCGCAAGACATCAAAAGCTCCTGAATTTCCTCTCCTAGCTGTCAAACAGCGCGTGCACGTGAGCCGATACTTAATAGCATTGAATGACTTCACATGCGTAAGCATGTGAGGTCATTCGTAAGTTCTGTTGTGAGGTGATGCGTAAGTTCTGTTGCCGAGAATTCTACTGTGAGCTGTATGGCCTTATATGTTTTTTTTTCATATTCAGCTGCGCTGTGCAGGACTCACCCGGGTCATGTTCTTTTTTTTTTTGGTAGGAGTGATCTCGCGAGTGCCGAAAATTGTTTAACGAGGCGAAACGAGTACATTCGTAAATGGCGACAATTGTGCGTTTATTGTCAGCCGAGTTATTAAAAGGGAAATGAATAAATTGAACAATTTTATTTACCTATTTTTTACAGAGTATGCAGACACTGTCTTTACTCGTGCACCCATTGGCTCGTTGTGTAAACAAAATTGATAAGGGTGGTTAGGTAGAGCGCGACAATATAAATATCGTAATATCCAGTATATAATCTAAAAATGAAACGAAAGCACTAGAAGACTTAGTAACCTCGCAAATATAACCACAGGAGAAAAAAACAAATATATAATAGAAAATAGGAATTGGTCATCAGATTAAACATGACATCATCTTGATATTTGTTTGTTTTTATTTTGTTTTTGCGCAAACACATGGGGACAAAGTTGACTACGGAAAGCGGCTGAAAAATTGTACCTGTTCGTGTTTCTCATCTATGTCTCCGTTGGCCTCTACAAAACTCTAAGATCAGTATGTTCCAAACAGGCCATATCACAGGTTTTTTTTATGACATCATATTTAGAGACTAGCTCACTCTTCTCAGTTGTGGTTTTCCAGTGTTTTCGAAAAATGTGAAGACAGTGGCACGGGAAGTTTTACATGGGATTATATAATATTGTCAGGAACGTGTTTATAAACGCGCTGTGTAGGGTGTAAAAAGAATAAACTTTGCTCTAAAGCAGGTGTTTTTGCAGGCATATTTTATTGATCTATAAGCAAGTGCACTCCAAAGCTCGACCTTTTTTAGCAATGCTGTTCACTAACCTTTGCGATTATCTCCAGCCGAGGGCGGCAAAAATATTTTGAAGACTCCGCATGTAAATGTTGGGTCAGCGAAAAGTATCTGCTCAGCCACTAGGGACATAATGCCTACAGGAACAGAAGAACATATTTATATATGTATATAATCATCATGATTAGCTCGGAAATGCCGGCATCAAGGTTAAACCTGTTGCGGGCTTTCTTTTAACGAGTTTTTGGTGTACGTAGCTAAGACGATGGCGTAACAGTGGCAGACATTTTCACAGTACCTACTCAATTTTTACTCACTTCAATTCAGTTACAGCCATCAAACTTCTGGTGTTCAAGGCACTGAGAATATAGGAAGGCACATATCGTCAAATAATTTCATACACTGAAGCAAGCGATAAACCAAACCTTATTTACGCGTACATGAAAGAAAGCGTGGGCCGTGAGTGATTACTTTGGTAGGTGTTGGTTGGGAGCTTGACTGGCCACGATGGTTCACGTAACGCACAATAGGTACTTCTCGCAATGTTGCTTGCACGTATATTTCAAGAATAATTGCCGAATGGTCATTCCGTGTTCCTAAAAAACAGCGAGGCCTGCGCGGAACGCGCAGAATTGTCATGGCAAAAACTAGAAGAGCGGCCTTTCAGAGTCTTTATAGCACTCTTTGGGTAGCTGCTGCAAGCACATTTGATGGGTACCCTCTATGCTATAATCTATTTGTAGTTGGCAGGCATTCACTGCATGAAATACTTGTAACTCTTCGAAGAAGCGTGGTACCCGCCAAACGCTTCCAAAATATTTTCTGGAATTTCTTTTTTGTGATGTGGCTGACGACGATGAGAAATTATTCAAAAGCTTTTGTATTCCGAGGCCCGATCTCCCACAGAGGGGATGCACCAGTGCCAATAGGTGAACAAGATCGAAATTTTTTGATAGGTTGGAGCATTCGACGACACACTCGTCGCACAGTTAACATTTTGTGACAGCTGGTTGTTTCGTTGCTGTTCTAAAACGCCTCATCACTCACATTGGCGCCATTCCTTTCCAGACATCAAGCCTGCTTAAGGCCAGTTTGCAAAGGAGTATCAAGCACCGGTGTTAATAAACACAGCGTTCAAAAAGCAGTAAACGCTACTTTACGTATCTGTTAAGTCACTGGTACCAGCATAAATTTTGATGGAAGCCAAGTATTCTAGCTAAGCATGTGGGCCCAAACTCCTTCGGTCTTCTCAAATATTTGTCGGAGTGCGACTTCTATTCGGCATGTTAGCATGCGTTTCTATAGCTATAGTAACAGCTGCCCAAATTTTAATACTGCGATAACTGCGATTCGTCGCAAGGTGGCTGCATATGGCACGGACGAGACGCTTCTTTGCGAAAGCGTGCAAGATTCTTTGCATCAAAGCTCATTTATGTTCTGCAGGTGCTGCACTGCTCTCTTGTGCACATTCATGCATGCCTCAGGATCTTGGCCTGTTTCATTTGGTGCTGTTTATGAGAACCCATGAGGAGAGACAACCCTTTTCTTCCGCCTGAAAAGGGGGGCCTCAATCAGGCGCATTTGTGAAGATTCACCCCCCCCCCCCTCCAAAACTCTGATACTGTAATTTTTATAACAGGGGTTTAGTTTAGAGTGTTTTTATAACATCGGCAGAACAACGTTAACCACTGCCCTTCTGAATAACATTTTCTCGAACCCCTTTATCGGCTGCCATATTCACATTTGTCTGGTCATGCCCCGCCGCGGTGGTCTAATGGCTAAGGTACTCGGCTGCTGACCCGCAGGTTGTGAGACCGAATCGCGGCTGTGGCGGCTGCCTTTCCGATGGAGGCGGAAATAATGTATACCTTTGTGCTCAGATTTGGGTGCGCGTTAAAGAACCACGGGTGGTCAAAATATCTGGAGTCCTTCACAACAGCGTCTCTTGTAATTAAATGGTAGTTTTGAGACGCTAAACCTCACATATGAAACAATCAATCATTTGTCTGGTAGATTGTTTGGAGATGTAGATTGTGAATATCTCTTGCAGTGAAATTTTTTCTTTAAACTGCACTCTTTCACTCAACTAATAAAGAAGTGGTTCAATGAAAAACTCAAAAAATGTGCCACAGACAGCAAATTGTAGACTCTGCCGCTAACCTGAAATGATAGAGCTTTTTTTCCATTCATTGTTGTAACGAATTCCTATTTTGGGGTAATTTTACAGCAAACAATCAGAATATCACTTCCAATCACAGCTCATGGTATCCCGTTCCTGCTTTGCAAAAAAGCCCGACCAATACTACTCTATATGACCTGTTCAAGTTGTTTAGACTGTACTCACTATGCAAAAGTCACATCATCAATATACACGCTGGGCCACCATGGAGGACGAGATCCGTCTTCCAAGACGCCACTTTTCAAGTGCGCAGTGTTGTCGAGACTTTTGAACCCGTTCCGGAGTGACTTCCTCTCCTGGACGCTTGTTTGTGTTTGCCGGATTTCTGATGAGTGATGTTGTGCGTAGTTGACAAGTGATGGTGTTGATTCCATGCATTATAGATAAAAAAAAACCCGGCTAGGCTCAGTGGTAGAATACTGGGCTGGCATGTAGTTCAAATGCCATTGAGTTCAAATGCCATTGGGTTCTTGGTGTTTTAAATGTGACGCAGCTCTTCGACTCAAGGGTGTAACACCATTTGTACGTGCACCCGTACGAATGTGCCGCAACGCGTTCACCTCGCCACGGGTGTTAAAGCGATACCAAGAATGTCACGCAACAGCTACACATTGACGTGACACTCCGCTCACACACTTCCCTCGCAGATGCGTGCTTACGTCCCTCTCTACCTCAACCACAGCCCACCCGCTGCAGCTGCCGGCTCCTCCAGCCGCTCACAACACACTTCTTTCTCGCTTCACCATGTCCACCACCCTCAACGCTCCACCCCACGTGGAGTAGAAACACCCTTTTGGCTCGTTTATCTCCGATAAAATTTACATAAACCACAACACGCATCCCATGTCTTTGTGTTTTAAACAAACGTTTACTCGAGTAACGCTACACCGAGTTTAGCTTCAAATATTTCTTCCAGCAACCCAGTCGACGCCCATTTCCACCGAGTCAACGCCGTGCGCACCACTGCTGCTTCTGGTCCCATCAGGTTTACGTTCGGAGAGATGGTTCATACTTTTTTTTATTTGCTGAGTTTTCTTTCTTATGACATGCGGTAGTGATTACCGACACCGGCAGTGGCCACGGTGGACAACTACGGTGCCGCACGCGACGCTTGCTGTAATCTCATAACAGCTTTCGCTGTCAAACATGTGAGCAAACGCATTACGTTCTGGATTTCATTTGCGATAAATAGTTTCCATAGCCATCTATATCTGTATTGTAGTTGCGCAAAAGCGCAGTGCCTCAGTCAGTCGGCAAAGATCCATTTCGAGATGTGGGAAGTGACCTTGTTGCGGTGTCTGCCGAATGACAGCACACGGCGTGCTTCTCGCATGTTCTGAACAAGACACTAATAGTCACAGGTCTGTTGCAGATAGCCTTTACTGGACAGAAAACCCTTTATTATATATTCTACTTCTGCCCACACTCGCTGTTTTGCAAAAAAAAAGATATTTAGCGTTTGCTGCAAGCTCGGCTTACAATCTGCAAATTGGGAGGAGTTGTGTACGAAAAAGGACGCCAGAGAACACAAAAATAATGAGTTACATGGTTCTTGTCTTGGCCAGCGTCGACTACATGACGTGTCACTACAACTATCATTTTCGTCGTTTATGTTAATGAAAATACTAACTGTAAAGGAAGTTACCAATAGAGGCATTGCTACACCCACTCCGGCAAGCAAGTTTGCAAGCATTTGTGGTTGTTATGCGTATATTTGTACTGGTAGTCGTTGCAAGACCACAAGTTTCATTTTATTTCGAGGACTGCTGGCACCACCGTAAAAACACCCAGTAAGTACACTCAATACCTCACTAATGTCACGTAAAACAAAGATTTCTTAACTGAAATTCGTTTTCCTAACTACCTCTCTGAAGCTAGCTAAACAAATCAGGTTTGCAACAAGAGTGAAGCGCTTCAATTGCAACTATTAGCATGTGGTAAAATAAGTAAGGCTAAAAGCTCACTTCTTGACTGCCTGTTTGGGTGCAACTAAATAGAAACGATAGCACAAGCAAGCTATGACGATTAAGCTAATAAAGCTACTTTTGTTCTGTGCTTGCTTCAAAGAAAATATTACATGATAACAGCACACATAAAGTAGTCCACGTGCTGATTTCTTGCAATATATGATGACCATGAGGTACTACGCCCCACTTGAGCCCTGAATCATCTTCTAAAGCCGTCATACATAGCCCGTGCTTCCACACATGCCATAGCTCATCTCGCGTACGACATGCGAGGCGAGTTGTGACCTTAATTTACGGTGAATCAGACATGATTCACCTTCTATACAAGCCCGACGTCTTCTACGGGGTGGTATCGGCAATACGAGGGCTATTCTTTCAGTAATATAGGATCCATTCGGCACCACCGACAGCGATGGTGATGCGAGGGATGCTCCTGAAATATCATATACTTACCAGAGCCACATTTATTCTACATCGCTACTGAAACGCACAATAAAGGAGCTTAGAAGGAATCATTATCAAAGTGGTTTCAGAACAGTAAAAGTGTATGTATTGAACGTTGCTATGATATGAGCAAGAGTTACCAAACAACATCACTGGCAGTAATCTTGGAAAGTGTTACGCGAACATTTTTCTTACTTTGGAAACAGAATTTAAAAAATTTTGCGTTTGAACGATTTATTTCGAACATGCCTGATCACAGTATTGCACATTAAAATGAACAAGTTTTTCGAAACTTCGAAGAAGAGAGGTAAAATCCTTACGAGGATGCCTTGACGCAACCATGCACAGTCTCGCGAATTGCTGCGGAATATTGCGGGTATTACAAGGTCTCGTAAAAAACTTGTCCAAGCTGGTCAAAACTGGACCGATTTTAGAAGCAGTGCTACATGAGCTTCTGAAAGCTTTAGATAAGAGCGCAGGAACATTGAAATGGACAAAAACATCATACTGTCTTATTTTGCATCTCTTACACCATAGCTCATTAGGTCTGACAAGAGGATATAATGGCAACGTAACATGATGCTATATCATTTCACACTAGAGCCCCGTTTTTTTTAGGTTTCGGTGATCGTTAATGAACCTCTGCGGGGCGAAATTTCCAAAGCCATGCATTTTGGCCTCTCTCACTGTAATATTTTGTAGTTTCGGGATCCTAGATATCGCCAATATTAATATTGTTAGTAATACTCCTAGTTCATTATTATTATTATTATTATTATTATTATTATTATTATTATTATTATTATTATTATTATTATTATTATTATTATTTGATGACAAAGTAAAGTCCGCTGCCAAATTTGTCCCATTTCAAAGAATGCTTGAGATCTTCGGTATGAAATGTTGGACGTTGTGTAAGATGCGTGCATTTTGTTATTGATATGATCGACTGCTCATGAGAACACTGTGAGGTCAAATATTGATTGCTCAAAGTGTGTCGAATAGAAACAGTAGCCCCCTAACACAGACGTCTGTCTGCTGTAGCACTTGGTGAAACTTGATAGATTAGAATCACTCATTCATTGCCCTCTTGTAAAACAGCAGACCAACGTTTTAACCATATTTTTTCGTTTCATCTAGAGCAGTAGAAAAATACCACAAACTATTTATATAGCGAGCAGCTTTACGCTTAAATTATTGACTACAACTCATTGAACAAACAATTTGTGAAAGAAAGACGGCATGTTACAACGGCTGTCACATTGCAGGTACTGTAAGACATTTTTAATACCCTAAAATTATTTGTTGTAAAGCAAGAAGTTGCTTAAAAGATAACAGTAAATGTGTCCCAAGTTTGTTCGCAGGAGCACCACAGGATGATATAATAACCGTCACTAATGCCCGCGTTGTTTGTTTCGGGCCATATCCTCTTAGATGTTTGTTCATCTCCAAATTGTTAATGTACAAACAAAGGCTAAAGATGATATTAGGTAGCATTCAGTTAAAACATAGACTTGGTGAGTAATAAATGTAAGCAGCTTACCTGGAGGAGAAACTCTCATTGCATCATACGTGGCGTTAGTAAAAAGGCTGATGGTTATAAAAATCCCCTGCAAAGTTGTGTTGACCCTACAGGTGTTGGTTTTGTATCAGTGTATACGAATGATGTTTCTATGATAGACAGTAATGGTTACCATTCATGTCCTAAGCAATATTCCCTCTCAAAGAAAACAGAAGTATTAGTTGCATTATTCACGAAATCAACTTTGCAGGTTATTTTTCTTCGTGTTGTCAGCATAGTCCAGATAGTCGTATTTGGTGTGTAGAACTGCAAAAAAATAGAAACGTAATCGATGACAACGAAAGAGAAGGCAGAAGCATCCAGTGTTAGAGGAAGAAGTTTCTGAACCTTGTGAAACGTGCCGGGACAATTTTATGCTTTTATGCTTACTCATTTTTCTGTTGCTGCAACGTTGAAAGATATTGCGGGAAACGCTTGGTTTCATAGCAGGACAAAGCATCGTAACGGCATATGAGCGTAAAACAGTGGAATTACTCGTTGACTCATCAGATAAAATAACACAGTTTTCAAGACATGATAGTTTAAATAAATTTATTAGTGGACCTACGAAGCTTGCTATTCGCACAATGCTCTTGCAGTTGAGCCAAGGATATATGTACCAAGTTCACTTTGATGAATGTCGCACTTTACCAGCAATGTGTTTTTCAAAACGTAATCGTTTCATTCAGTATAACTATCTTTTTTCGCTAGTAATACGCACACATAAAAATTGCTATTGCCGAACAAAAAGAATACTTTTTCTAAAGAGGCACTGGTGTGTTCCGTATTACATACACGTTTTGTTAGAAATATATTTGCTAGTCTAACGTCCAGCCTGGTTGACCTCTACATCAAGTACAGCCACTGTGAGGACAGCGCCTCAGTGATGGCCTCACTTCATTCTGTTTGTGCCGCAGACCACTACTGCCAATCTACGCATCCTCAACAGGCAAGCACTGTCCTTGTACCTTGAAAGTATTGTGCCTAACGAGATTAAGGACATCAGGATAAACACGAGGAAGAATGTTTTGGCAATCGACATGATGAACCCGAGCGGACTGAACACGCTACAGCATGTGTCCGAGCTGGGAAACATTAAAGTCCGATCCATCATACCAGCAAATGGTGACACCGTAACAGGAGTTATCTATGATATGGACACTCAAATCATCAATGAAACTTTTCCTGTACTGATAAAACCAGTGAGTGAAAACAACGTCATTGTGCATGCTGGTCGCCTAGGCAACTCTCGTTGTGTGTGAATAACATTCAAGGGTGACTGTCTTCGCTCTTACGTGAAGGTTGGCCATTTTCGTCCCCAGGTTCGCCCATTTATTCCAAAGCCTATTCAGTGTTTCACGTGCCAGACGATTGGCCACGCTAAGGGCGTTTGTAGAAATTCCGCAGTGCGCCCCGATGCGCTGAACACCACCCAGAAGACGACTGTAGTGCAACTACGTTGAAATGCTCCAACTGCCACGGCGCTGACAGTGCTTCCTCCAATGACTGTCCTCAGATTAAGAAAGAGATTTATATTCTGAGGCGAATGGTGCGCGACAACTTGACTCACAGAGAATCTGCACAAAAAGTAAGGCGAAGGCGCCGTCATCGTCGAAGGTCCTCACGAAGGACAGTGCAAAATCTAACGAGAGAATCAGCAACTCAAGTGGAATCGACAGGCACGGCTCCTAGCGTGAAAAACATCTGCGCTGGAAGAGAAGATCCTTGGAGATCTCTCTCACCAAAAGAATTGCCACTCCTTCAGCCTAGACGATCTGTTGAGCCTCAACAGAAGCCGCCTACACGACCTGTTGAGCCTCAACAGAAGCCGCCTCAAGAACAAGCACAAGATGCTGCAACGGCCGGGAAGTCAGATCATCGCGTGATGGTGATGCTAAGATCATTTGTGGACACCATTCACGTGTTGTTAAGCGACATGAATACACCGTCAGCCAAAAGTGCCCTTCAAGTACTGGACTCGCTTAGTCCAGTGCTAGCAGCCCTAGAGTAGACCATGGCTTACCCACCACTGTCTTTCAGGGTTGAGGTTCGTAATGCAGCAATACTGCAGTGGAATGCCAGGGGACTGAGATCGTGCATTGGTGATTTTCATCGATTTCTGTACGTCAATATGTTTCCCGTAATCCTCATTTTTGAGGCAAACTTATCGAGTGCAATACGGCTCTCGGGATACCAACATTTTATGTTGTCTACCTTAAATAAAAGCAGCAAGGTTCTGGTGTTCATTCGCCAAGACCTCACTGTCACACCGGTCCCGTTATTAGGGAGGCAATCGCCGGGCTAATTCCAAGGGTCGAAGTATCGGCCCCCCGAACCGCACCACGAAAGCGTGGACAATTTAGAAGTGGTCCTTTTTGGCGCGCCAGCGGACGCCGGCTGTGGTCCAAAGAACAAGTCAGAGCCGAGAGTTGATAAACAAACAAATTATATTCTCAATAATGGCAGATCGAAAACAATACACAAAAATGCACACTCCACAATAGTTGCATACAATATGTCACCAATCAAACCAATCAATCAACGTACTACACAATACAATCAGCCACACTTGAAACAACGGACTCGGACAACAATACGAGCTACAATGCAGTCGCATGCATTCAACAACCAAGACACTTAAAGACTAAAGAGATAGAAAACCTATTCAGTCCAAAGTTCTTGGAACCAAAGTCGAGATGATACTCTTCCGAGAATCACTCACTCAAAGTCCAGCGTTGTTCTCGTTCCGCAGTCCTCGAAGTTTCTCTTCCAGGAAACCTCGCGTCTTCAATTGGCCACTCTTCCAACTTCAACTTCTTCGCCGGAACACGTCGGCTTCACACACGCAGCTGTTGCCCCGCGTCTTCGCTCGATAGCGGTAAACACACACTCTTGCCGGTAGCTCGAGTCGTCACCCCTCAGGTGGAAATCCTCTTCACCTCCGGCCTCGTCCCTACGGACCAAAAACTTCGCCGACTACACGGCGGAATCCTTACGCGCTCTGGCGTTCACTTCCGTCTCCTCCTGATTTTTCATCTCGGCCGCTCGATTAAATACCTTCCGCGCCACCTTCCAGAAATTTCTCGTCATTTCGTCGGCGCGATACGCAACGAAGGCTGGGGAGAGGTGCGAGACGGTTCGACTGCCCTCCCCGGAGGATGATTCAACTCGGTTTGACCACGCCCCGTTCGTTCTAGAAAAATCGCGGGCTTGCTGGGTCGCCGATGCGGGGTGAGGAGGTTCGTCTGCGACGCCACGCTTCCGCGGGGAGAGCGCGCGCCCGGGGACCTTGGATGTCTGTTTTCTTCTTTTTTTTTCTTTTGACTTCGCGGCGTCTCTTTCGCGCGTTATCGCAAGAATTTGGCGTCGCGCCCTTTTTTAGCGCTCGTTCTGCGACACTGCCCCCCACTTTAAGAATATTATCTCATAATATTCAAAACCTCACAGACGAGCGCGAACAGTCACCACACACTCTCACAGACTGTAACACCATCAGTCGCTCATGACACTTCACATTCACAATAGATCACTTAATACAATTGTACATTGTAATTCAATTACACAGCACATGAAATATACCCACAGGCACACGAGTACAACACTCCACCACATATTCCCAATAATACAAATGTACCAAGTTCTCGCATTACAACAATGGTCCAATACTATACATCACATCACAGCACAACACTTCGACACTTGTGACACAGGACAACCAGAACATTAACACAACATATGTCACCCAGCACTGTCAAACCCATTCTGATTTGACTTCAGCACTTATCCTGAGTACTTCGAGCAGCGCTTGCGCCCCTTTTTGCGGTGCTCGCTCGATCTCTTTTTGTGTTTCCACGTTCTTTTTCGGCGAGCCCTTTCCAACGACGATATCTGAGGCGTCGTCTCAGCCGTGAACGCGTCATTACATCCGACGGGTCCTGTCTGTTTATTTACCCGTTTGATCATGCCTCTACATTTTGCCCAGCTGGCCAACTCCGTCTCCTTTACACTGTCGGTCGGTTGAGGTCGTGCCGACGTAAGTCCAGTTGCTCTGCCCGTGAACTTATTCGACACGATCGTCTTCTCCTTCACTGTCTCTTGCGCCGCGGCTTCGCCTTGGGCTCTAGTGAGGTTCGTCACGGGCTGCTCCTTCACTGTGTCTCGCGGCCGCTGTGTTGGCGAGGGCTCTATCTTCGGGTCTTCTCCCAAACATTCTGGATCACTCGGCCCTCGCGCCCCGTCGATGTTTCCGATGACAAGGTCGTACAGGGGGGTCGTCATGCATAAAGCAGTAACCTTCCCGCTGAAGTACGGGGTTTCAATCTCGATTTCTGCTTCGGGAAGCATCCGAACTGTACGGTCAATTAAGCAAACCGGTTTCGTTTTGCCTGTTAACTCCCTTTCCCGTACCAAATCTCTCCGCACGATAACAGTGGAGCTACCGGTATCTCTTAACACCGTAATCTTTTTGTCCGCAACTTTTCCAAGCAGCGTTGGCATTCCTTTCGTAACACCGGTTGGCTGTTTTGACATTACAGCCCCCACAATAGGAATTTTCTCCCCATTCTTCAACTCTACGAATCCATCAGTGACGGCATTATTATCAGATTTCGGTGCTGCTTGCACACAGGATACCTGGTGAGTTTGACTCACTCCGTTCCGACAAGCGTCTGCTTTGTGCCCAGTCTGACCACACTTGAAACATTTTACTGCCGTAGGGCTCGTAAAGATCGTTCGACAGTTTTTCGCGCGATGACCCACTCGGTTGCACAGAAAACATCGCGGAATGCTCTCTGGTGCACGCTTCTTTTTTTCGGGAGCCAATTTCTTCGAATCATCGGGACAATCCTTCTTGACCTTGGCCAAATTAATGCCACCTTGCGCTTCCAAGAATTGATCAGCCAATTCCAGCATGTCTTCAAATGAGTCAGCCTTCCTCTCTTTTAAGTACAGTGACAGGCTTGGGTGGCAACTAGTAAGAAATTGTTCTCTGATTAGCAGTTCTCTAAGCTCATCGTACTCCTGCGCTGTCCCTGAAAGTTCAATCCATCTGTCGAAATAATGACAAAGTCGGGCGGCATACTGCGTAGCCGTCTCTCCATCAGCTGGCTTTCCTGTCCTAAATCTGTCCCGGAATCCTTCCACGGTAAATCTAAATCGCTTCAGCAAAGCAGCTTTCACCTTTGCATAGTTGGCTGCATCGGTCGGCGTCAGCCTACCGTACACACTGAGCACTTCACCACTCAAGCAGGTACTTAAAGCAGTTGCCC